ATTTATTTTGTTATTATTGTTAATTTTTTTTTCGTTTTACTCAACTTTGTGATTTTAGTAAGTAAATGACGAGAACCATCTTCCAATGCTATTGTTATTACCAAAGTATTTTACCCTTCTTGATAGACAATCGTTTGTTTTTTAATTTTTTCATATTGTAGGACGTCAAAATAATTTCAACTCTTACCCCTCCTTTGACACACAGAAAACACAATGTTTGAGGAAAACTAGTTTCGTCTATTCGACCTTATCAATTACTCTACAACTGTTGTATACGATAAGCGCGCTTACATTTGTAAAATTTCAAATCAGTAAGCGCGCTTATCGTATACAACAGTTGTAGAGTAATTGATAAGGTCGAATAGACGAAACTAGTTTTCCTCAAACATTGTGTTTTCTGTGTGTCAAAGGAGGGGTAAGAGTTGAAATTATTTTGACGTCCTACAATATGAAAAAATTAAAAAACAAACGATTGTCTATCAAGAAGGGTAAAATACTTTGGTAATAACAATAGCATTGGAAGATGGTTCTCGTCATTTACTTACTAAAATCACAAAGTTGAGTAAAACGAAAAAAAAATTAACAATAATAACAAAATAAATATATAAATGAACAAATAAATAAATCATCCCATCTCTAAGGATTTGATTACACAAAATATTTACCAAAACCTGTTATATAGTATAGAAAGCAAACAATTTCCTTTATGCAATATAAAATTGAATTTTCTTTATATTTTATAGGCTCCTAGAAGAAAGAACTATGCATTTTTCACCACTAATGTTCACCTAGCTGAATTTATTTGACACTGTGAAGCATGCACAACATATTAAAGTTTATGGCAAAACATAAGTGGAAACAAAAGTAGAAACATAAGTGGAACCAAAAGTAGAAACATAAGTGAAAGAAATGAGTTATTTCATTTTGTTAATATTGATTGCGCAAAGTCACAAATCCAATGAAATCCTTATTATTTTAAGGTATGAGTAACCTATTTTCTTTATCGTTATCGTAACTAAAAACAACTCTCCAAGACAGACATTGCAAGTCGCAATTGATTTCCCAGATAAATAAATTGTCTGGAAACCATTCCAACAAATGAAACGTTAGTGATGGCGTCAATAAATTGGGAGAAGTCGCTTCCAAATTAAATGTTCAAACGTTTTTGTTAAAGCGGAAAAAAAAATCTCACATATTTAACAATAGGTAGATTAAAATGAAAAGTGCAGAGGAATATGAGCAACTACTATTAAAGAGCCGAAAGAAATGAATAAAATAAAACTATGAATAAAGACTAAAAAAACGAAAGGCTGGATAAGAAGGAGCATTAAATTAGAATAAAGCTTAAAATAGGAACATAAAATGAGTTTTAGCTTTTTACCTTTTGTGAATTGTTGTCACTAGTGAAGAAAATCGAGTCGGCGAAGGAAACAGAAAAGACGAAGAATACAGAACGCGCTCTTTTGAGTTGTTGTTTTGCTTACTTAACCGCTTACTTCACGCTGTGTGGTCTCTGTACGCAATCAATTCTCTTAGCTTCTCCATATACGCCAAGCAATCGTAAAAGTCAATTGGGTTACTAGCTACATTGTCAGTATGAGGTTTGATTGACTAGTTTATTTTTATCACACAAAAATGAATGGCATTTTTGAACTCTCAATTGATGTACTTTTCTTAGAAAAAAAAATTCTTTGAATACAACGTTTAATGTTACTGGAAATACTTTTTTGAAGTAAATTCTGTAATAAATCGATTGCTTACCTGAAATTTTTAATCTGCGGTGGAATTTAATCTTTTGATTGCAAGATTTTGCACTTTATAATGCTCCAGCATGTTTGGTTTTCTTAGAAAAAAAAAAAGAAAATGTTTATATATTTTTAGGGATAAAATAAACACATCATATGGGCATGAAATCAATATGTTTTCTAAATTGTTTTACTTAAAATTTGACTGCTTACCTTAAGTCTTCATTTAAAGTTTTTAAGTATTTTATCAAACTTGAAGGTATTGATTGCAAGATATCCAACCAAATACCCTTGCTATATTAGCTGACTCGCTTATCTATAATGGTCTGATTCCCAGAATAGGAGTCCTAGGGCGCAACTTTATAACCTTAGTTAATTATTTAAGGATGTTCTTAGTTTAGTTAATCACTAAATTGGGATTACCTTTTAAAATTTTCATTAGCAAACGGAAAATGTGTTAAAGGTAGAGAAATAAACGGGAGTAAAACCTCAGGGTTTTTTTCTTCGGAAAGTTAAAAAGCAATAGATCGAGACGTTTCGGATTCAGTGACATTTTTGATTTAACAATTGTACATATAGACCTTTTAGAGCTATTAAGCCTTTAAAGTCATTATTTATTTAACAAGTGTAATTATTTGTATTTTTATTGCAAGAAAAATAAAACTGTTATGAATGAGTAAGAAATTGTAGATGGTACATGTGGAAACAGAGGAACCTGAAGAATGGATTGGCATTTCATTATTATCAAATTCATGAAAATAGTTATTATTCTGATAACGTTAACATTGTTATCGAAATCAATATAACTGCTATAATGCCATGCATGATTGGCAGGTGTCCATTAGTTCGTTATCCTTCCAAAATTGTAAATTCTATGCCACAAATGATAATTTCAGATTGTTATTGTTGCTGTTATAATAATCATTTATTGATCCAATCTCGCACCCTGAGCCTTCGTTTTCTTGGTCAGCGTCAATAACGTTAACTCGTGTACTGAAAATTCGCAAATTGTGATTGGCTCTTGTCCAAATAGAAGCAAATGCCGACGGGAATGAAATAGCACGATAACATCCAAATTCATATTTAATCTGGATACAACAACTTAGATTCCTGCTCTTAAATGATTTATTAAGTCACTAAAGTACTAAATTTCAATAAAAAAAAAAATCAAATCAAATGAACTGTATAAAGAGGCCGCAAATGACCAATAGTCGCGACTGGAAAACATTCCAGAATTTTCTATGTTAAAATTCAAGTTTACTTGTCGAATGTAGATTCATTGAGACATTCCACGTTTCTCCTTTGACTTCCTTTCCGACCATTTTCTTGATAAGGTTCGAGCAAACTCAATTGAAAATGAGTCACGCGCAGTGGAGATGGGAAATCGCTGAGATCGGAACACTTATGTTTGTCGACCGGTGGCTGGCTTAGAAATGCAAGTTCGTCACAGCTCTACCGGTGCTCGCAAAACAGCAATCAGAGGTAAGTGTGTTATCAAAAATGAAAAAAAAAAAAAAAATGAAGAATGTGCACAATAAAAAGGGTGTTAAGTTAGTATTTTTGCTATAAACTTTTTTTTATATATAACGCGCGCGATGATTGGCTGACGACCGTGTTTATATCAGAGGACACGGATGGCTTACCGGCAAAATTTGTTTTTCGTTCGAAAACAGAACAATTTTAGCAGAACACTTTTATGAAAGAACTATAAAACGACTGCTTGTGACTCTGTCCTCTGATATAAACACGATTGGAGTTGAAAAACACTCGAGAAGCAAGATAATCCCGCTGTTTTGTATTTCTTAAGTAAAGAGCAAAAGAGATTTATAGACACCAACTATTAGTCTCACTAATCCTTCATGAACAAATGAAAATGACTTTAATATGATTACGACTGCCTCAAAGATGTAATACCTGTTTCAAGTTACATTTAATCTATGAATGCGAACTTCAGAATATTAAAGATGGGGAGCAAGGATGGCCGAGCGGTTAAAGCGCCGGTCTATCACCGCTGTGGTCTTGGTTCGATTCCCGGTCCGGGACTATATGTGATTTGAGTTTGTAGGCTGGTTCTCTTCCTTGCTCCGAGGGTTTTTCTCCAGGTCCGCTGGTTTTCCTCCCTCAGTCAAAAACTAGCTGTGAGGAGTGTCATGTAGTAAAATAATGAATGTTGAGGTAGTGAGTATGAGTGAATATATAGAGGGCCACAAGTTTATTAGTCTAGAGACTATTACGTGCTACCCTCTCAAAATAAAAGACTTTATTTATTTATTTATTTATAAAGACCAGTTACAAGGAAAATATTTTGATATTTAATCTCCAAACTCAAAACGATATCTCATTCAATGCACAGATGAAGAAAACGTCTTGTTTTTAAACTACTGGCCAAAAATATAGCCAAAAACCTTGATACTTTTGTCCCCATTATCACCAGCACAACTCGCTTCATTTCCTACGCTATTGCTATTATCTTGACGACATCGATTGCCAGCTCCACCAAACCCAAGACGCGAATCAGGACTTTTGCATTCATTCTCATTATTTCCAAGTATTCCAATTCGAATAGCGGTATCTTTGCCGCCAACATTAAATCCTTCCTGGTTACAATTTCTTTGTAAAGAAGAACCAGGGATAAGTCCTTTCCATGCTTCACGTCCAAGGCTAGTGTTTTTGTATGCATTTCCAGATATCACAGAATACAGTGATGGTACATCTTGAGGTACTTTCAACCAGTTGAGAGTTCCGCTTGTGTTCATTCCCAGGCAGAGAGATTTGATTGGAAATTCTGAATAGGTTGTTAGCTTTGTTTCTTGGTTGTCAAGGCCGTTGAATGCAGCTTCGATATTGTAGGTGTTTTTAGTTTTCCAGTACTGTGACGAGTACTTGAAGGTTGACTTAAAATAAAGACATTTATTAGTATACTAGTCAAACAGTAAGAAAATGGATATAGTAATATTTTTTTTATTTTAATTAAAATTAATTTCAATGCTAAAATAAGTATATATTAAGGATGCCATCATCAAAGACGATATTAACATAGGCAATGCAGAGAAGCCTTCTAAAAATAGTTATGACTTAGTTATGAATTAAAAAAAAAATTAAAAAAATTAAAAAATAAAATAAATCTTAATAAATATCTATCAAATAAATAAACTCGAGATCGTGTTTTAAACTATACATAAAGGTCTTCCGCTCATATTTTATATATTACTAAAAACTGAAGAATTTTGTATAGAAGCCCCACTTTCTTTCCCCACTGAAGACGAGGCTCTGTGGAAACAGAATGATTATCTCATGCGGTTTCCCTAATCCTTGTCTGAAAATTTTGGTTTGTTGAGGTTAAATTTACCTTTTCTCCATCCAATTTCATGATCATAGTCCATCCACTCGATCCACAGATAGTGTCCATATGACAATACACCTTGGTAGATTCTCCAGCCAAATTAAGATAATATGCACCATTGGGCGAGTTCCTGGTGAAACCACAGAATCACGTATTGATCGTTTTCTCAACCATTCCCAAGAGAATCAAAAGATAAAAGACCGGCCGGCCATGTTGGAGGAATGAACAAAAGATACTAATGACAAAACCTCTGTTGAAGTTCCTCCAAGATGGCCGCTATGACGTAACTTGAAAACAAAGAATATCAGACTAACGGCATAAACAGATCTTAAGGTCCAGAGAAACGAATAAATGAATTTAGAATGCATCTTAGACCTCGAAATCTTTTACGTCATATACACAGATCTAATGCATAGTAAGATATGTTTGCCGGGAACAAAACATGGCCTTTTTGTTTGTTTGTTTTAAGGAAAAAAAACAATAATTCTCTAAAAATGAGATATATCTTTGTAAGCAAGTAAATCATTCTTAAAAGACAAAAATGTGTCTGGACGTTGCTTGTTTAAATAACAAAAGTCTCACATGCTAAGCCTTTAGAGAGACTCGAACTCTCGACCCCTGATTTACTAGACCAGTGCTCTAACCACTGAGCTATAAAGGCTCTATTGATTACAATTACCTTTTACCTTTTAACAGATTTGATTTCTTGACATGAATCAGCAGGGTTAGCGGCCATTCCAAGGGTATAATTTACTACATGAGTCTGTGCSAAGATATACCCAAATCCCTTCACTGTTCTATCACCGTTATCAGACCAACAGCGGGCCTCATTGCCAGCGGTGTTACTATCATCTTGGTCGCACTGATAACCACTAGTGCCAAACCCCAATCGTGATTCAGGAGTCAAGCAATTATCTTCGTTATTACCTGGGAACCACAAGTTGCATTTTGTAACTGCAGTCGAAGGGTATGATTGAATAATGACCATTAATTAACCAGCTAAACCAATAAATGATAGCCACAGATTTCAAGCAAGATGGCAAAGACAAAATGGTGGCAAAAAGACTCTTAACAAATAATATTAAGTAACAATGCTCTAAAGAACTAGGGAACTCTCTATTGTTCTGMGGCATWGCAASTTCCCCAYRTACRAATGTCTTGGTTTTCACACTGATTATATATCAACCTATGGGTAACACATTTTTAAAATAAAATGTGGATAAACTCTATTTTGAAACAAAGTTTCTTTTGTATTAAAAGCTCTTATCCAATCATAAGCACTCAAAACAATAGCCAAAAGATGCTTCTAATTTGCAATGTTCCCCACATAGAATTGTCTTAATATTGAAGCTAAAGAAAGCTTTCATGAAAGCGAAAACAGACATTAAATAAAATATTAGAAAATTCGCTAACTTGTGAAATTATAGCAGATTTTCATGTTTTAACCAATGGGATGGATGGATTATACAATGCACAATTAGCACCTTCTTGCATTCCTATGCCGTTTGCTTCCCTAATTCTTACTCGGGGCATTACTTAAATCTTACCTATTATGCCAATCCTTRCCATTGTTCCATAATTATTCGCATCTTTTACATTAAAACCTTCCATATTACAATAACTCTGCAAAGAAGACCCRCTTATCAAGCTTTTCCAGGTCTCACGTCCAGCTTCARTCTTTCTATATTCGTTATCTGCCAGGATCGAATATAGAGATGAAGCAGTGTACTTWAYGCCGATCCATCTGCTCTCGTTGTTTGCCTTCATACCAAGGCAGAGCATAGTAAAAGGGAAATACGAGTAGCTTTGGAGTTTAGTTTCCTGGTCGATTAAWCCTTGYACARCACCAATGTCTTCATTGTATGTGGCTTCGTTTGTCCAGTAAGGTGATGTATAGTGGAATGTACTCTAGAAGAAAATCAYGAAAGAATTGTTAAAAAACGTTTGCTGTGGTTTACCAGAGAGCCCGAATAATGGGCTTTCTTAAAAAAATGAAATAGAATTGAAATAGAATGTACAAGATTTTGAAATAAACAGTTACACGGAAGAATGTATAATATATAGCCTTTATAGCTCAGTGGTTAGAGCACTGGTCTTGTAAACCAGGGGTCGAAAATTCGAATCTCTCTAAAGGCTTTCCTTATCAAACTTTTTTGTTATTCAAATGAGCCCCACTACCACTTTGTAATGAAACAGTGTGATTCAGGAATCTCTCCCATGTTGCCTTTATAGCTCAGTGGTTAGAGCACTGGTCTTGTAAACCAGGGGTCGAGAGTTCGAATCTCTCTAAAGGCTTTGCATATCAAACTTTTTTGATATTCAAATGAGCCGCACTACCATTTTGTAATGAAACAGTGTGATTCAGGAGTCTATCACATGTTGCCTTTATAGCTCAGTGGTTAGAGCACTGGTCTAGTAAACCAGGGGTCGAGAGTTCGAGTCTCTCTAAAGGCTTT